TCAAAAAACAAATATTCTCTCAATGTCTATCATGCAAATTTATATGATATTGAGTTATCTCAATTATCACTCAATATAATCCAATTAAGGTGTAACAACTAAGGTATCTAAAACAATTTTACTGATTTTAATCAATACAATTTAAAAAAAAAAGGAGGTGAAATATCCAGGAGGTGTAAAGACCAAAGGTGAAAAGTCCAGGAGGTGTAAAGACCAAAGGTGAAACGTCCAGGAGGAGTAAAGTCCTGAAATCCTTCAATTAACAACGAGTAGTTTAACAACTACACATATATCAAAATCAAACTGCATCTGATACATGTGTAAATGACTGGCCCCTCATATAAGGGAAATTCATGTTGATAAGAAATAAGAGGAAATTTTATTTACCAGCATTTTAATAATAAGAGTCTAACGTACTGCATTTAACTTTTTATTGATTTCAATTGCTAGGATATTTCCTACCATTGATTGTGCATTTATTTGGCATGGCGATATAGTGTGGGAAAAATGATCCGATTATACAGACTGTCCTATAGCAAATGATAAAGTGTTCTTACGTGGAAAAAAATTTATTTCAGTTATTGTGCATGGGCATTCAAACTAGAATTCCCCAGGTGTTGCTTGTAAGTGTCGCAAGTTCTCTAATGTAACTTAAAACAACAGACAAAACTTTGAAACATATTAATCGCTGTACTATTATAACTGCTGTTTTACATAGAAAACATTTTTTTCACTGATTGATGCAGTAACATAGATGCTTAAAGATCCTGTATGTTTTGTGATTTATATTTTTACTGTATGAATACCACACTAGCAAAAAAATATATATGTACATATTTATGCAAATAAAACAATTTTCAAACATCGAAGAATATGTAAAATGTGTACTGCAAATATTTGTGCACATTATATTTAATCAATAAATTACAGGCATTTATTTCTTATTGGCGTGACATTAAGTTTTACAAGTCAAACATTACAATGATCAAATAACCATCGAATCCATGCAAACATGAGGTAAATTAGCATTGAAAAACAATATATAATGTTTGCCTACCTTTTTCTTTTGTTTGGAATATACAACTTTGTCTGTCAAACCGTCGTTTTTTTTGTCCGCCAATACAATTGAATTTCAAATCCGATAAGTCGCAAATTCGAATTTACTAATTATTTACCACTATAAAATGAAGCCCTCAAAAATAATAAACAACTTCATTGTAAATTATATAAACACTTCTTAGACTAATTCGAGAGATAAGATATTATTTAAACGAAAATAGAGCAAATATATTTCATACTGATCTGCGACTATCCGTTTACCGAGCGCCACCTATCGAATATCGTACGTTAGCCACACCACGTGATACTGTTGTTTTGATGGAGAAAATAAATATATAATGTTCCCTTTCTAAACTTAAACTTAAAATTCTCGCTGTTTATGCTTTCATTTAAATATATTGCATGGTTTCATAAATTAAATTCACCTATTGTCAGATTACCGACCAAAACCCGACGTCGAGTCGACGTCAAAATGAAACGTCTGTTAGACGTCGGGGATTCAACGTCGGTTTGACGTTGTATGAAGGTCGACGACGTCGCGACCAAAATTCAACGTTGATCCAACGTTGTGTCAACATCGGGTGTTTGCTGGGATGGACAGTAAATAGCCAATACGGTAAAATCCTTGTCTGATAAATAATTTAAAAAGGATAAGGCATGGTTAATGAAACCCAGAAAGATCATTGCACCTGATCAGTAGATGACATCTAATAATTTCGAGGTCATTGGGTCACAAATCAGGGTCACAGTGACGCTAAATGTGAAATTATTGACAAGTCAATAAGTTGTTTAAATGGCACTTTTACAGGCTGGTGAAGAAGGGGCATCCTTGTACTACAGCACATGTCTAGATAATTAGGGAAATTCATATAAATGGTGTTATCTGATTGGTTATATATTTCGTGGCCACGACTTAGCTATCTTGTGGCCACGACTTAGTAACTCGTGGCCACGACATAGTATCTCGTGGCAACGACTTAGCTATCTCTTAGCCACGACTCAGCTATCTCATAGCCACGACTTAGTAACTCGTGGCCACGATATAGTATCTCGTGGTCACGACTTATGTTTCTCGTGGCCACGACTTAGTAACTCGTGGCCACGACAAAGTATCTCGTGGCCACGACTTAGCTACCTCGTGGCCACGACTTAGCTATCTCATAGCCACGACTTAGTATCTCGTGGCAACGAGATAAATAAAAACACACACATGTCACATTTGTGCCTTCGTAAATACAACCTTTGCTCGCATTTTTCTATCAAAATGTCAGGAACATATCAATGATGAAATTTAAAAAGAAAACAGCTTAAGTTATATTTATAACGGTGGCACAAAGGTGACATGTGTGTGTTTTTATTTATCTCGTGGCCACGAGATACTATGTCGTGACCACGAGTTACCAAGTCGTGGCCACGAGATAGCTAACTCGTGGCCACGAGATACTATGTCGTGGCCACGAGTTAGTAAGAGTGGCCACGAGATACTATGTCGTGGCCACGAGTTAATTAGTCGTGGCCACGAGATAGCTTAGTTGTGGCCACGAGTTAGTAAGTCGTGGCCACGAGATACTATGCCATGGCCACGAGCTACTAAGTCGTGGCCACGAGATAGCTAAGTCGTGGCCACGAGATACTATATCGTGGCCACGAGTTACTAAATCGTAGGAACGAGATAGCTAAGTCACGGCCACGAGATAATTAACCAATCAGAATACACTATATATATACATTATGATTTTTTTTAACTTAACAATTTACTTTTACATGCAACATTAATCTTCGAAAATACTGAAGCTGTTCACTTTGAACTTGTCTTTAGGATCATTTTAGAAAGTCACCTTCCAAGGCCCATCAGACATGAATTTTGACTATAGCTCTATGTTGGGACAATTTTGTGATCGAATTGGTCAGTCTGTACGTACTATGGCCTGTAAACCTTGTTTATACGATAACATGAGAATGAATAAGTCCTTGTTTATTTTATTTGTAAGGGACATTGCCCATTGACAGTAGATAGCCTATAAGGTAAAATCCTTGTCTGATGAATAATTTAGAAGGGATAAGCCATGGTTTATATAACCCAGAAATATCATTGCACAGTCCTGATAAGTAAATGCAACTAATACTTTCGAGGTCATTGGGTCAAAGTGACGCTAAATGTAAAATTAGCGACAAGTCAATAAGTTGTATAAATGGCACTTTTACAGGCTGGTGAAGTAGGGGTATCCTTGTACTACAGCACATGTCTAGTTAATTAGGGAAAGTAACATAAATGGTGTAAACTGATTGGTTATTTATCTCGTGGCCACAAATTAGCTATCTCGTTGCCTCGACATAGTATCTCATGGCCACGAGTTAGCTATCTCGTGGCCACGAATAAGTAACTCGTGGCCACGACTTAGCTATCTCGTGGCCACGAGTTAGCTATCTCGTGGCTACGACTTAGTAACTCGTGGCCACGACAAAGTATCTCGTGGCCACGACTTAGCTATCTCGTGGCCACGACTTAGCTATCTCGTGGCCACGACTTAGTAACTCGTGGCCACGACATAGTATCTCGTGGCCACGAGTTAGCTATCTCGTGGCCACGACCAAGTAACTCGTGGCCACGACATAGTATCTCGTGGCCACGAGTTAGCCATCTCGTGGCCACGACTTAGTAACTCGTGGCCACGACAAAGTATCTCGTGGCCACGACTTAGCTATCTCGTGGCCACGACTAAGAAACTCGTGGCCACGACTTAGCTATCTCGTGGCCACGACTTAGCTATCTTGTGGCCACGACTTAGTAACTCGTGGCCACGACATAGTATCTCTTGGCCACGACTTAGCTATCTCGTGGCCACGACTAAGCTATCTCGTGGCCACGACTTAGCTATCTCGTGGCCACGACTTAGTAACTCGTGGCCACGACATAGTATCTCTTGGCCACGACTTAGCTATCTCGTGGCCACGATTAAGTAACTCGTGGCCACGACATAGTATCTCGTGGCCACGAGGTAAATAAAAACACACACATTTCACATTTGTGCCATCGTAATTTATGGCCATGCAGAGTGAAAAAATAGTGTCCAATTATCTGTCTGTCATTACGCAACAATGCCATATAACTCCCGACCTGGTTCATTAAGCATAGTTCGGCCATTGAGTAGCCCAGACACGAAGCAATGCACGATATTTTACCGAGATGCACAAAATTCCATAACTATGCACATGTACATGCACATTGTAAGTGCTTTTTAATGGCGGATCGGAATGCAGCAATTATCGGAAATGGCGATATATTTTTTTTTATTTATTTTATATATATATTCTATATACATACAGGCAGTGGATCAGCCGCAATTAAAACACATGTGAAACACGTATTGGCCTACTTCGTCAATGAGTAAAGAGCTGCTCCGTGCTTTGATTAACGTCAAAATTTAAAGTTACACCGTGCGCCGGGTCGCTTTACATGCACATTGCATTTACGGCATAGTATCTTTAGTTGTTCATGTTTCTTGTTGTTATTTTTCGTTTCATATAGGGATATATTCCGATTTATGTTCCGTGTATTTTTTTATGTAAATGCATCTTACATGATTTCCTCACATAGGTTATTATCGTGGTTAAATTATTAGGCATATGAAAAACCATTATTATACGATTGCATGTCCTGGAGACTTTAAAATATATTTCCATTTTTACATATACATATACATTTATAGGAAGGATTAGGCATATGCACTATTCACAGTAACATTCACAGGGACACTGATCATTTTCACTACACTATAGTCTAGTTTAATCAGGATGATAACGCTTTATCTGATATTCGTGCTTACTTTATAGACGGGGCTATTCAAATTATCGAATAAATATTTTTCAGTAGATCTATAACTAAACAATAATAGGTTAGTAAATCTATTTTTATATTGGTAGTAGGTACTGTATGGTATAAATTTTTACCGCGAGAATAAAAATAGCTTCTATTCCAATGTAAAGTTATAAAATGGCGGAAAATAAAATCTAAATGTTTTCATATCGATTTTTTTTCATGTAAATAAATCAATTAATGGTTAAATTGGATGAAGAAAAGGAAAGAACAAGAAGGTAAATATTTTGTTTTTCATTACATGACTTTATTTCCTTAGTACCGCGAGAATACCTGCAAACAGGGTAATTAAATCCTAACCATGTCATATGTTTGTTTGCGAATTCATGGCAATGGGTATGACTAAATACCGAATGACAACTGTAATGTTTCCTGCATTTTGTCCGGTTCTCTGCATAAAACGAAAGTGCTTAACAGTGCCGAAACTCATTCTGGTCGTCTCACATCAAAGGAAAGGGTACATTATTATCTTTATGAAATTATAATATTTTAGGTAGTTATTTAAACCTTGTCAATATTACGGAAAACAAGTTTTATGTTACAGACATGTGACCAGGTAGTAATAATATGCAAAAATATTTTATGTACGGTTTGCAAAGTAAAAATAAACATGTTGTATACATGTGCAGATCAAGAAGGGGAGCCACACACATAACCCCAAGTGTCTATGTTTTGACTGACTTTTCCAGGAGAGATAGTTTCAATGTAGATGTCAAATATATTCTTAACAAAATGTGTTTTCTTTTTCCAGATTGTATAGTTTGAGATCAGAATTATCAGACCTATTACTTGAATGACATTGATGGCATTGAACTTCAAATATACTGTGGACTGGTGCATTAAGGTAAAATTTTATAGTAGATTGTTTTAGTTCACTGACCACTAGTGATTGAAAATCGGTTGGAGAACCTTAATATCGGTTGAACCGATGCGATATATCGGAAAAATAATCAATTGAATTTTATTTATATATATAATTGTTTATTCAGATTCACTTTGTCCCGTCGGTCAGTCCGTCTCAATTATCGTGTCCGCTCTATACATCCTATACCAATCGAAGGATTTTCTTCAAACTTGGCTCAAATTTTCACTTCAACAAGGGGACGTGCAGAACCAATGTTGCCCATGTGTTAGCTCAAGGTCAAGGTCACAATTGAAGGTCAAATATCAAACAATCAAATATTAGACAGTATGTTATGTCCGCTCTGTAAGTCCGACACTAATTGAAAGATTTTCTTCAAACTTAGCTCAAATGTTCACCTCAACAATGTGCAGAACCCATGTTACCCTTTTGCCAGCTTAAGGTCAAGGTCACACTTAAAGGTCAAAAATTGACTTAGAAAATATTCTTACATTGTAACATGTATTTGAATATTTCTGAAACTAGAAAAAGTATTTGCTTGAAACTTAAAATATATATGAAGTGTCATGATTAAGATATGCAGGTCAAGTTTCATAAGTCTGTATTGCAAAACATCTTTCAATTAGTGTAGGACTTATAGAGCGGACACGGCATACTGTCTAATATTTGATTGTTTGATATTTGACCTTCAATTGTGACCTTGACCTTGAGCTGACACATGGGCAACATAGGTTCTGCACATCCCCTTGTTGAGGTTAACATTTGGGCCAGGTTTGAAGAAAATCCTTCAATTGGTATAGGATTTATAGAGCGGACACGAAAATAGAGACGGACGGACCGACCGACCGTCTGACGGACGAGACAAAGCAAATCCATTATAGCCCCCCCCCCACATTTTGTGGTTGGGGTATAATAATGCCTTAATTTGTAATTGAAATTCTTTTGTATGTGCGGAGTCTGGCTTTACATGTCAGTCTTTTCAATTTAACCTATTTATTTCATTTCAAATATGCAATTAAACCCATATCAAATGCATATCATGAGCTCAATCAAGTCGCGTTTTTTGTTGATTCCAAAATATCTGTATCAAATGCATATCTGTATTCCAGAGGATTGTGTGAAATAAAGATGTCAGAATACATTTTTGAGCTACAAAGCTGATTCTATCAAGAGTCGTATACAGCTGCTAAACCTATATTAGACTTGGATAACAACCAGACAAACAAAGAGTTTGCAGCTGTATACTCGTCCAATCTATTTCAGTACTCAACAATAAATAATAACCCAAAAATATAGCCTTTTTGATATTAATTTAAGCCTCGGCTAATGCCTCAGGTAATATTCGGCTCTTTCAGCCTGTTAGAAACACTAAACCTTTTTTACCGCGACTAGGAAGTAACTTATACAATTTTAAAGTATACAACAAATTTAAAACATGTACATTGAAGCTAACACATGTAAAAAATATACAACTTAATACTGAGAGACATATTTCATCACAATAAAAAATAAGATTAAAGCAACAATAAATGTAATTGGCACTAAGGATATATACAAAAATGATAAAATAAATAAAATAACAGTCTCATTTTATTTTGTTTTCAAAAGAATGTCATTAAACATGCAAATGTATTTTTTTGTAGCTGTGTACTCATCAAATTGAATTCAGTATGGTACTCAACAAAGAAAGCCTTAATATAGTCTTTCTGATATGAATATAAACCTCCGGTTACGCTTGTGTTCATATTTAGTTCCCCTAATTTATATTTACCAGGCCGTACCATGATTGTTCATCATTTAGTTTACCACTTAATAATGACATATACATTGCAGCTTTAATTTATTAAATTATGTAAAAAAAGAAACTTAATACTGAGATATACATTTCATCACAATACATGAGAAATTACACCAATACATATAAATGGCACATAGAATATATGCAAATAAGAATAAAATCTGTACAACTTCACATTAATTTTTCATAAAAATGTAATTACATGCACTTAATGTACTTAAACATTTTACTTTTTTTAAAGTGTTTTAAACACAAGATTAAATCAGAACTTGTACCCATCTTGAAAAAACTTTGAAGTGAGGTAACTTATATAAGAATTCTAAATAAAACTCTCAAATTGTCATTAATTTATCAAGTAGCAGGAGGTTCTAGACTACAATGTCATTTTTACATGGAGCCATGCAAATTTATTGAATCATTCACTTTGTCTTGTTTTCAGAAAATTTTAGTTTATACAGGTTGTCAGGTTCAGCTGTCACTGGCACCACATTTGTCTCATTTTGCTGGGCTGCTTCTCGCCTTCTTTTCCTTCCTCCTTCTCTGTCACTGGCTGATCGAAGCCACCCTCTAACTACCCCCTCCTTTTCAGCCTCTCGTCGAGTTAATTTTACATCCCCGTAACTCGATTTTTGGCAAAATTGAGATTTTTATAGCATTTTTTTCGTCTCAGTGAGCTCTTCACAGTGAACATACTTATGTAGTTGTAGAACTAACATAAATATGTTTATTTCCAATTCCACAAACCCGTAACTCGCTATTTACATCAAACTTTAATTCTAGACTCCAGTAACTTCTCGTCCAATCAAACATTCTGATTTTGTACCAGGTGATACATGACACATCTGTAATGGCTGCCTACTTTATCACAACCAAATATTTGAAAAAACCTTTAGTGATTTATTTAAAGATAATTATAGTATATTACCTGACTGTAATATACATATATTGATGATTTAGTTTTTAAAGCTCTAACATCATTTTGAATTATATAGTAAATGTCTTAAATAGATACATATGTAAATACTACATTTATTTGGATGATTACCATTTCGGACAGCCTCGATGAGTACTATAACTTTTTTGTTTCCGAAAGCTTCTTATTTTTAAGTTTTTACACTTTTTGAAAGGGTACTCATTGTCTATATAGCTGAACCCTTTTTTTCGATTTGCATTTTGATCATCCATGAAGTTATAGTTATTAGATATTCTTGAATGGAAGACAAAATAACACTTTGTTTACATCTAGATGCTATAAGGACAAATTGTTTCAGATTCCACGCTGTTTTCTAAAGTACGAAAAGCATCTACTTGATGTACACTCTAAATAAAAAATTGAAACATTATAGCAACATACGTATGTGACAGAAACGCATCGTCGGATACCCTAGTTGTTAAACATGAAACAGAACAAGTGCATACTTTTTGAAAAATTGATGTAGATATCATTTGATAGTAGCATAGATTTTCAAACAGACGTGTAATATATAACACAGTAGGAGAAGTTAATGATATTTTTGACTTGAATTGTTGCTATGTTTCTAGCCGAAAATTATTACACTTAGTCAATTTTGCTTCAAATAATTCATTTAGAACCCCGTATGTCGCTTTAATGGTATAGAAATGACCTGAATGTTTTGCCAACAACCCAGTATCTCCCGAATGGCGTTTTAGAATTCAGAATATGTATGTGTTTTCTTATTTATTATGAAAAATTGAAATAAATTATTTGAGATTTTAGCTTTAAAATTGTATGCACATAAATAAAATTGGGTATATATGTACTACATACTGATTTCAAAATTCGCTGAAAATTTTATCTTTATAAGGTTTATCATTAAAAAGTTATTACAGTTCAAAGTTTCAAATGCGATTTTCTAAAAATGACAAAAAATGACATACGGGTTTGTAGTATTAAGCCAACGCTCTGTCATATTTTTTACCGTTTTCTTCACAGCCTCTGCAATAATTAAATGTATTTTGTTACAAACACACACACACTTTGTTCAAAATGATACATGTAGGTCCCTCTCAGTGAGTTATTTCAGACACAAGCAATTTAACATTGGAAAAGAGCTAATGAGACCTTAACCCCAGGATAAACAGCATAAGTTTGTTAAAACATTGAGCATATATTATAATATAAATTACTTTATTATATCACAGTTACGTATGATTCAAATAATAGCATAGCCTAATGCGAAGTCAGAGGGTAACCTTTCCAAGTGTCACATTGCAACAGTATGGTTCAGCCTCCTGACATTTCCAAACAACCCTCACAGTTAAAAGATCACCTTTCAAATGGATAGCATTTTTTCTTTTCAAACCTTGATACCCTAGTCCTGGTCGGGATGTAGTAACGGAACATATTTATTATCTCTTGTTCATTTATTAAAATGTAACAAAGTAAACATCACATTTCACTGTCTATAACACTTGGAATATAACGTATTAAGATTTCATTTTGATATTCTTTTTTTTTTAATACACTTATATAATGTACTAAGAATTCATTTTGTTATTCTATTTTTTTATACACCTAACAATACTTATTGCTGACAAGTTAGCAGGAAAGATCAAAGGCAATTGTAGGTCTTTATGTTTATTTTTTCTCCACACGAGTAACTAAATACTTAATGCTCTATAGTGAAATTCTAAGTAAGATCTAACAATAAAAAAATTACTCACTATATATTACAGCTGCCAATATTAGCTTTCCATTTTTCCTTTTTTACCGTACCAAGTGAATTTTTCAGCATGTTGGCTCTTCATGGTACGTTTCAAAATTCTTCTTTGTCGGCAGTATTTTGTATAATGTATGATATTACGACTACGCGACAGTACGATTATAAATCAACGCGACAGTACAATAGCAAAAACGCGACAGTACGATTATAAATCAACACGAAAGTACAATAGCAAAAACGCGACAGTACGATTATAAATCAACACGACTGTACAATAGCAAAAACGCGACAGTACGATGACAATAATGTAATAATATTATAAAGACCATGCAGCAATACGATAACACGACAGAACGATAACAATAATGCTACTTTGCGATAACGATAAAGGGAAGTACTATTACGAAAACACAACACTTAAGCATCTATATCATTTTTAGCTCGCCTTTTAAAAAAAAAATATAGTTGAGGTATTGTTATAGCCCTGGCGGCGTTGCCGTTTCCGTTCACAAACTTGTACCTGGATCATAACTTTTTTTAGTTCTTAGTGTATTCCCTTCATATTTGGCCACAACAACCCTTTGGACAAGACCTTTCAGCCGACTACATTAAGGTTGACTTTCATTTATAAATGACCTTGCCTTCAATGTCAAAGGTCCAAATTTTGCTTGTTCTTGCTATTATTGGCTGTAACTTTGTTATTTATGAATGGATTGTCTTCAAACTTGAACATAATAATCTTCAACGATAGCCCTTTAAATAACCAGACAGACCTTGACCTTCACTCATAAATGACCTTGACTTTGAAGGTCAGATTATTCAAATTTTCATTTTCTTGGCTATTTATTGGCTGTAACTTTTTTTTTATTTTTGAATGGATTTTCTTCAAACTTAAACATAATAATCTTCAAGGATAGCCCTTTAAAATTACTAGACAGACCTTGAACTTTACTCGTAAATGACATTGACTTTGAATGTCATATTATTGAAATTTTCATTATTTTGGCTGTAACTGGCTGTAACTTCGTATTATTGAATGGATTGACTTCATATTTCCACAGAACATTTTTAAGGACAAGACCTTCATGTTTATTCCTTGGCTGTTTTATGACCTTGACCTTGAAGGTTAAATTATTGAATTTTCACTGATTTGTGCATTAAATGACCATATATATTTATTGGTGTGCATGTATATATGTATATGCGCATTTATATATATACGCATATATAAATAAATAAATATACATACATTTAAATGTATTATATCTTTTATATAATATCTTATATTATATATCTTTTTTTTCTTCTTCTGAATACACATGCGGGTATATATATGAAAAGGATTCGTATTTGATAAAACTAATGTGACAAGACAGACAAATTAAATTTATAAAAAGGAAACATTAAGATTTGTTCAAACATTTCTGTTTTTTGTTTGCTTTTAGAAAAAGTAAAAAAGTCGAGCGTTGCCCTCGCCCGGCGGTGGCTCTTGTTTTTTCCAATTATTGTTATCAAACTGGCGTTTTATCATTATCGTACTTTCGTGATTTCATGTTTTCACAATCGTTCTTGAGTATCGCGTTTTAGGGCAGTACATTTTAAGTCCTATACTTTATGTCCTGTACGATATTTCGTTATATTTAAGCTTGAGTGTAGTTCCTTTTACATAACTTCATTGTTATTATGTCGCTCGAGATACTAATTTGTTGTTAATATTTGATATAAAATAGGCCAACAGGATTAAGTACTTCATTTGTATGAAAATTTAAGTACTTCTTTCCTGTACTGTGTTCGTAAAAAGAGATACATACTATTTCTTTAGAGCGGTTTTAAGATTTAATAGTTTTTGTAAGTATTTTCGTGAAATTTTGCTGCCTGCAAGACTAGTATACTCGTCTATCAGTATCATGGAATAAATTATTGGTTTATTGATTTGCAAAATATATTGATATTCTTTGCATTTTTACAAGAATTTTGGTCTGGTGTTAAAAAAAAAGAAAAAAGAAAAACAACATTTTTCATAATTTCGTTCATTTCTTTCTTTTCTTTTAATGAAGTAATTGTGTGTTTTTTTTAAATATATTGTACATGTACATATATTAAATGTCGTTCTTATTTAACATCTTTAGATTTAAATTTTTAATAAACATTTTTAACAGAACTTCCAGGAAATGGTTTTGCTGTTGGTATTGTCTGCTCTTGTTGCTATTGACGTGTGTTACGGTCAAAGTACTTGGACATGCACTGCAAATACAGACTATGTCCCTGCAAGTTCTTGCTCGAAGAAAATGGAAGAGAAAATCAATTCTTTAGAACTTCAAATACAACAACTGCAGAAACTTGTCCAACAACAAAACGTATCGCCTTATACGACAATCGAAGGCTTTGCAAGAGGTAAAGGCGATTATGCTATCTCTAAAACCACGATGTATCTTATTATTTTACATGGATTTCCACTCATGATTATGTTGAATTTCGAAAAATATGTGACTTTTGTTGTTATGACAACAATTTACATTCTGTAGTGTGATCAAATTAATTTAGATTACTGAATGGTTCTGTCAAAAAAGATGTATTTGCTTGTATCATATATGTCAGATATTGAATATCGAACATACATTTAATGATTATTGGCGACGCCGGTGAGCGGCGTCGTCTTATATGGAATGCTTTTTATTTTTGCCTATGGAAGGAGCTGTTATTATTAGCAGTTAATTTCATGTTGAGTTAATTAGATTTATTTTGATTCGTAAAAATCAAGTAAACAAATATGTTGTTATATTTGTATTAAATAACTTTATATAAAAAGCATGTGCATTGTGATATTATTTTCACGAAATTGCAGGCTCACTTTAACAGCTTGTAACTAGGTGGACTAACCAGAGAGTATTGTAGGTGTTAAAATACAAGAACATGTATTTACGTATTGAAATGAAAGGATTATCATAATAATGTGACAAGGTTCAATATTTCTAGAATAATCCCCCCTTAAACTTAAATCATTCTCTTTTTTCTGTTTCTTTCCCATCCGGAAGTTACTAAAACGTAAAATATATGTCCGCTATCAACACCTCTATCATAATGTGATTAGAATATAAGTATAGAGTCTGTATAATTTTCTTATTTGGAAATTGATTTTTTTTAAAATATGCTATATTTTTTAAACCTTTCTTCTTTGGTACTAAAATGGTATCTAATTTAGACTTAAGATAATTAATTATTCATTGTTATACTTCACATTATGTATGACGATGTTGATAGTTTAAGTACCTCATATCAAGGGTTATCTCCTCTTCGAACTTAAAATGTTGCTTACAAGATGAGACCTTTTCCTCTTAACACCTGTGTTACAAACGGGATTGACTTTTGTCTTTTCCATAAGAGTAAAGAATCATCTGTTTTACTTTTATTGACATAGTCACATGCATGATATGTTTGCATAATAAGGATGTGCTGAACATTTGAGTGCTTGCTTGAAACTGATCAAACTCCACACAGCGGTTTCGTCACGCTTTGCTGCTGTACTAGGAAGGGGGGGGGGGGTAACCGCTGCGGGGAGTTTGGAAACTGATACAGAATATATTTATAACATAACTGATTTAGTTTCATACTTTTGTCTTCCTTTATTATTGTGTCCAATATTTAGTTAGTCGAGCAAGCTGTCTGTTCTTTCAGCTACTGTTCTATACAATATGATATACAATAACATCGTGTCTTCGCATCGGCGACCTCTGATAAACTTAAAACACCTTAGCCTCGAAACGATTCAACGAATCGACCAGACGATACGCCTTTGGAACAAGACAATGCACAGAAACGACGGGGCAATGTGAAAATGCGAAATAAATGTCTTGTCCACGCATCTTGTTGTTGCTTTTTTGCATCGTGGGATGATCTCTTTGTTTTGCCGTATCTCATTTTTTGTCATTGCTTTATTATCTCGTCACTTCACTACATTGTCTCTTTGCATTATTTGTAACATTACTGCTAACAATAATGGAATACACAACGAGGTGATACGCCGAAGTGACGAGATGATACAGGCACTGAAGCAACAAATTGTTGCACCGAACCAACAATGCGAGAGCACGATAAGACAATGCACTGAAACACCAAGATGATATGCAGAAGAAATCGAAGTGCCGATACGAGGACATTATGAGACAATACCTAAAGTGACGAGCCAATTAGCGAAAGCGATGACTCTTTTAATGCGAGGATAAGATAATATAATACAGTGAAGCGAATAGACGAGATGATACACCAAAGCATCAAGAAGATAACGTGTCGATGAGCCGGAGTCTGAGTATAACAGAGGATACGAGGCGATAAGATGACACGAAAAAGGATAAGGCAATGGGGTTACATGATATTCAATTTCATTTGCTTTTTCATATTGTTCATTGACTTTGGCATATCGTGTCGTTGCTTTGGCATATCGTTTTGTCTTTTGGTGTGAGGCTTCTTGTTTGTCGCCTCGGCTTTCATTTCATAGCTTCAGTTTTGTTTTAGGTAGCTGAAGTGGAGAAACAATGACCCTAAAGAACCAGCACGATACCACCACCAGTATTGTTTGATTATTCCGCAACACTCAAAAATCCAGTTGGAACTTTTGTTTAGTATATATTCTACGCAATATTAGTTCTTTATGCGTGTTTCTTTAAAAATTCTGTGAAACATTTTTTGTTGACATTTATTTTTTAGCATGATTTTTTCGCAGATTGCTCGGAGATATATAGAAACGGTACCAGAAAAGACGGTGTTTATTCCATCTCGCCAGACGGGAGATGCCCATTCTTTGTGTTTTGTGACATGGCAAATGGTGGCTGGTCATTAATTCAAGTACAGTGTATTTCCGTGATATCTTACTTACATTCAATGTTTTATATTAGTAAATGGTGAAACCGGTGGTCGTCGGTCTGACCCCTAGGGTTCACTGCTATATTTCCATACATGACAGAAGTAATGGTTATTCACATGGAGTGGTATCGAGGGTGGTCCAAATAGCTTCCAAGCTTTCGTTACAATTTAACTAATGTAGTATGAATATATTTAAGTATTGCGATTTACAAGTGTTTTCCCGCCTTTTTAATGTAGATTTACAGTCCATTTTATCCGATTTATTTCTAGCTAGATGCCTTTAAACGGTTGAATAAGAATACAGTATCTATATTCAGTTTTGCATGATTTCTGGGATATTGTTTCACAATCCATTCAAATGATGTATAAAAAACTGAAAATATATTTTTTTAGAAACGTGCGGATGATAAGATAAATTTCTACCGGTCTTGGGATGATTACGTAAATGGCTTTGGAGATATCGATGGGTCACATTGGCTTGGTTTAGAGAAAATCCATCGTCTAACTAGTGGTGGCAGTCAAATTTATTTTGACATGGAGAATTATGACGGGGGAAAGGAGTATGCGCATTATAAGGTTTTCACCGTTCACGACGCAACAACTGCCTACACCATGAACGTAGATGCCTTTAATTATGACGGTAATATTGATGAAATATTCAGTTACCATAACAACATGAAATTTTCAACATATGACAGGGACAATGACGCTTCTTCTACTAATTGTTGTAAGCAGAGTCTGGACGGTGGTGGATGGTGGTATAAAGACTGTTATAAGTTGGGAAACTTAAATGGAGTTTATGGGAAACGAGAGGTTGGAGGTATTGGCTACTGGAACACAAAGAACGTTCCCATTAAAAATGTCATACTGAAGGTAAAAAACATGTATGGTCAATGTTAAAAAAAGCCACAGTCATCATTTGTGATTTTGCAGAAAAATTTCCATGTATGTTTTGTATTTATGATAAATATTGATGTTTAAATTTTTTCCTGTTGCTATTTTTTCACATAATAACCGCAATCATTTATATAATGAATGTATTTTTAAATTGAGAAGAATACAAACATGTACAGCTACATGTAGAGACATGATCATGATAAAACCTACATTGTAGAAAAATAAATCGAATTCAACATGTGAACATATCAAAAAAAATTTTAAAAGGGGTATATTGTTATTTTTTGGAAAAATAAAACGAGTAAGAATTTATGATGACATATATACAATAAGAGAGTCAAATATACAATATCTAATTAATTTTATCGATTATCATTATATTAAACATTGTTATCTCACTAAAGATCGTTTCTTGTTATTTCGTATTCATTTAAAATAATATATTCAGAATTATCCTTTATGCATTTAGAACAAGCAGTTAACACTATAATAAAATTGACTCAGTTAGCAGAATAAATCAGCACGAGCCTGCTTCAAAGTCAGTCAAATTGTCGTATTGGGCGTTAATTGGGGCTATCACCGGTTGAATTTGTGTAGTGGAAGCTAGCTTTATGTTAGAATATCCCTAGTACAAGAAAGAAGGGAAATTGAACTTACTGACGTATTTAGGTCATCTAGGTTGTGCTAAATTTGTTGGAGACAACATCACATATATAGACTGCCAAAACATGATTTAGTATCTTGGTCTAAACGAATATAATAATAAAGGATTCCATGATACTGATATTTGTCTGACCAAGTATACCAAATGTATTGTACACGTATATTGTGAGTGTATAATTTAACTTCTCCGTCGTCTGCCTGTTTGTCCGTCCGTCCGTCACAAAACTTGTCCGAATCACTCTTAAAAAACTAAAAAATTCTCGTAGTCATTTTTCAGTTTAATTATTTTTATGAGAGTTACGGCTCTATAATGATTGTTATGCTGTTCTTTTATTTCTTTTTCGGTTGAATGATTTTTGCTGAGCTGGAGCCCTTCTATAATGAGACGTTGATGTTTTTTTATTGTCTGCTACACAGTAGTTGCGACATGCTACATAGTAGCTGGGACATAAATAAGTCACTTGTCCATCGCCTGGCTATCTGTCTGTATGTCCATCGCCTGGCTATCTGTCTGTATGTCCATCGCCTGGCTATCTGTCTGTATGTCCATTGCCTGGCTATCTGTCTGTACGTCCATCGCCTGGCTTTCTGTCTGTATGTCCATCATCTGGCTATCTGTCTGTATATCCGTCCCCTGGCTATCTGTCTGTATGTCCGTACGTCGCCTGGCTATCTGTCTGTATGTCCATCGCCTGGCTTTCTGTCTGTATGTCCATCGCCTGGCTATCTGTCTGTATGCCCATTGCCTGGCTATCTGTCTGTACGTCCATCGCCTGGCTTTCTGTCTGTATGTCCATCATCTGGCTATCTGTCTGTATGTCCGTCCCCTGGCTATCTGTCTGTACGCCCATTGCCTGGCTATCTGTCTGTACGTCCATCGCCTGGCTTTCTGTCTGTATGTCCATCATCTGGCTATCTGTCTGTATGTCCGTCCCCTGGCTATCTGTCTGTATGTCCGTCGCCTGGCTATCTGTCTGTATGTCCATCGCCTGGCTATCTGTCTGTATGTCCATCGCCTGGCTATCTGTCTGTATGTCCGTCCCCTGGCTATCTATCTGTATGTCCATCGCCTGGATATCTGTCTGTATGTCTGTCCCCTGGCTATCTGTCTGTATATCCATCGCCTGGCTATCTGTCTGTATGTCCGTCGCCTGGCTATCTGTCTGTATGTCCGTCGCCTGGCTATCTGTCTGTATGTCCATCGCCTGGCTATCTGTCTGTATGTCCATCGCCTGGCTATCTGTCTATTTGTCAGTCGCCTGGCTATCTGTCTGTATATCCATCGCCTGGCTATTTCTCTGTATGTCCGTCCCCTGGCTATCTGTCTGTATGTCCATCGCCTGGCTATCTGTCTGTATGTCCATTGTCTGGCTATCTGTCTGTATGTCCGTCGCCTGGCTATCTGTCTGTATGTCCGTCGCCTGGCTATCTGTCTGTATGTCCATCGCCTGGCTATCTGTCTGTATGTCCATCGCCTGGCTATCTGTCTGTATGTCCATCGCCTGGCTATCTGTCTGTATGTCCATCACCTGGCTATCTGTCTATTTGTCAGTCGCCTGGCTATCTGTCTGTATGTCAGTCGCCTAGCTATCTGTCTGTATGTCCATCGCCTGGCTATCTGTCTGTATGTCCGTCCCCTGGCTATATGTCTGTATGTCCATCGCCTGGCTATCTGTCTGTATGTCCGTCGCCTGGCTATCTGTCTGTTTGTCCATCGCCTGGCTATCTGTCTATTTGTCAGTCGCCTGGCTTTCTGTCTGTATGTCCATCGCCTGTCTATACTTACCCGGATTACTACAGATACAACTTCATCCAAACTTTACAAGAATTATTAGTTATGCCTCTTGAATGAAAAAATGCGGTTTGGTCTGTTAAGTATTGTTGGGTTATTTTTTTCTTTCTTGATATTACAACAAACATTCAAAACATTCATAAGTTGATTGATTAAACTGAGTTCCACACAACTGGAAGGTTAGTTTATAATAGAATTTATTTCACAAATATATTTTTAATCTTTTTTAATTTTTCCTTTGTACGAAAAATGTCTTAAAACAAACAATTTACAGAAATAGACATTATGATACTGCGTACACTCTCAAAAAATCAAAGTACTGCGTACACATTTATTTGTTACTGATTCTGCGTACAGTTTCTTCGAAGCAGTCTAAGTTCATTATGGAATCAAATGGATAACACTGGCGAACAACAAATACTAATAATAAAAAGATAATTCGAATAAAAAACTAGGATTAAAATCCTGTGATAAAGTATTATCCCTTAAATTGTTTAAATGTACATCCTAAAAAAGGTTTGAGTTTAATATTTTAAATTAAATTTGTTTACTCATTTATGTTACACTCTAAACTGATATTTTTTCGTACACTGCATTTTAAAATAACTAACATTTTAGAGTCAAATTTATGGCTCATTTAAAGAAATAAATGTATGCCGGTTTTGTCGCGAATTCTTCTCCAAACAACATGAGGGACGATCGACATCGTTAAGATGGTCCTTACAATTGTGACCATTGAATAGGCATGTTTTTTCTTTACTGAGTATTATTACAACATACCTCTGTGGAAAATGAGAATAGAAAGAGAAATATTGCCCATAAATTTCGTATTCACGATCTTGATTAGGATTTCAGTGCTTTTATATGCACTAGCAAACTTCTAATCCAGTTACCTCTCTGGCGTGGGTTCAATCCCCGGGAGATGCTTTGGTAGTTTAGCGCGGAGGAAGGTGGTCTAGTACTGGTGTAACTTTCCAGGAACGATGGTTAGGAAACTACCCGCCTATATGACTGAAATACTGTTGGTAAAAGGCGTAAAATGAAACAAACAAACAAACAAAAAACACAAGCAAACCTTCGTGCATCTATTATTTATCGTTCTTGTACAGAATCATAAAGACAAGGCTCAAAAATTGCCTTCTATACGCGAGCCAAGTCACTCCACATTCTCACAAATGATCTTTCAAAACAAGCTCTGTCCTTGAAATCTGTTAATTAAATTGAAATACACAGTCTCATTCTTAATCATTTCTTTCAATTTTAATTGCTATGAAAAAAATATAAATAATGGTTTATCCACTTACTATGGTGCTCGTTTCGGTCATAGAATTGCACAATTATGTGTAACTTTTGTTTTATTTTCACAAGTAAACAATTATACTAAATTTGGGAAAAATTAACTACCAACATAAAAATACCGTTTAAAGTACGTGTGTACTTTTTCCTTTCAGCAATAAGCTTTTGACATGTAAACAAATGAAAGTTTCTTTCCGGAGAAGGTATGCTCTGTCATTTTTCCCCAGATAGCCTCTCATTTCTAGTGAAATACAACATAATTGATAAGTTACGTCAAGATGACAAATTCTTGATATAGACACTTCTATCATAATCAGTTTTAATACCTATATTAATATTCGTGTAAATATTCGTGTAAATATTCGAGTTTGATGTTAATTGTAAATTTGAATGACATTTCTGTATAAAATTATCTTTTAATTTTCGACAAATTGACCCAATTAACCATTTCTCATGTGATATAACTCTTAATATATATCAAATTGAAAACAAACTGAAAAAATGCAAAGTTCACCATATATTTATAATTATACATATATATGAATGTGTTGGTTTCCTAAGAACATAATTTAAAATCTAGAATATACATTTAATGTACATGGTACAATAAAGTTAACAATAAATTGAGAATATTCGTTAATTGTTATTGTTTTACCAATAAATGACCTGATAATAGAAAAAAGAGCAGACGACCATTTTTCGCAGCAATTCCATATGGTTGAGACATTTTACAGGACGCTTAACATTAAAATAATATCATGTTAATCATCTATTCTGTCTCCGGCCAATTTTGAAATTGAAATTCTCAGTAGAAAGTTGGTGACTGGAGTATAGAATGGCAAATACCAGCGGCTATATGTGAAAGTAAACTTACTATCATCATCTGTCCTACGTTTGAGCTCAAGGCAACCTCTTCGTTGTGTAAAAGACATACTGTCAAAATTACGGCATAAATTGTACAAACTATATAAGTCAAACGAGAAATATTTCGAGTTTGGAATATAAACGGCGTCTTTGTGCATTTCTGGAAGTCGGCTACTGAAGAAGAATGGCGAATTATCTTTTGTTTTATTTTCTCTGTGTAATGGAGTATGGTAGTACTTCTGGTGATTGTATATCATAAACTGAGCTGTTAAGAAGAGTGGACCAGTTCCAGAAAATTTGCCTATCATCGGTTGATAAAATGGCAGATTGTCAATAATCTGTTTCAAAAACGGATGTTTTGCCCTACAAAATATTAGATCGTGGTACAGTGCGTATGGCATTTTATAGTCTATGGAAAATATTTCAAAAGGTACAGTTGTAAGTATACAAGCGTATTTGAAAGTTATTCTCTCCAGTGGCCTCAAACATTTTATACCAATATCCGCAAATACACCGCCAAATTCATACAGAACAACATAACGAAGGATTTCACTTTGAGTTGTATGCCGTGAATACTCGTCATATGTCCCCAGCAAAGACGGATGTCGTCTGCTAATCAGATGTCTAGCAGTTTCCTCTGACCAGAAATGGTATTTCCACTCATAGTTGTAATCTAAGAAACTTTTTATATTTGAAGCGTATGCAAATGGGACGTACTGGTTTTTGTAAGATTGGTGTAATATATGAGGAATCCGGGGATCAAACTCCGAACTGGTTGGAAAGTCCTCGTGTAATTCTGGCTCGTAAGGTGGATAATCCTCTTGATTAACCCAGTCGGGAACTGACACTGCAATGTTAATCATTTATAATTAAAATTTCAAAATCATAATTTCTAAAATTATTTCTAAACATTTTGTCAATTTCAATTTCTATCGTTTTCATTTCCTCTCTATATGTCAGATGCTTTAATTATGTAATGTTATTCATACATTAATTTCTATAAATAATCAAAATGTGTTGTTTGATTTTTTTTGACACTGGAACAGCTATATACCACTGCGGAAGAAATCGTGACCAAAATCATACAATGGGCTCATAAAATGGCGGTCTGGGCGCTAAAGTTGTATGCAAAACTTGGCCGCAAGGAACGCCTGTATAAAAAGCATGTACTGTTCTGTTATTGGTTACTTTGTAGCTCCCTCTATTTAGGCCGGAAAGTCGAAAAAAACTGTTTTGGGTGATGAGTAAAATTGGGGAGCAGGAAGTAAAATGCGTTGTTTTCAGTAAAAGAAACGCATTTTGAGCAAAACTGGCAATGACATCTTGTACACAATTGTAAGTTTGCCCGTCAAGAACAATTTCCATCCTTTGTAAAGTTGCATAACGAGGTTGTACATCTTGTTAAAAATCGACCCCGCTTGTTATACATTCAAATCTTAATAATATGCTGTTTTGGTAACACACGTGTACATCAGCTTAAAAGTATTTACAATACAAAAAATAAGATACAAACATATTCATTATATAGAATTTATTTCACCTGCAAAATATCAATTTCAATGACACACATAAAATGTCATACCATTTTGCCAATTATTTTTAAAATAAAAACAGTTGTTGGTTTTTTTTGTAGATTAAATGATAAGCATGTTTAACGTATATTTCATATTTTCAATATTATCGTTAAATACTTAACATAATTCAATATCTTTAAAGGAATCGGAAAGTTCTGATATGTTTATTTGCCGGCGTATAGAAGACGATCAGTCGTCACGAACAGGTACCCAAGGGGAAGGCACCCCATAAATGCTAAGGGTTATTGTTCCTTAGTAAATAGCTGTCTGATATTTCTACATCCGGCTTGTGTGTCAAAGATGGAAAGGACACATAGAAATGGTTACATAAAGAAAAGCTATTCAGAAAACGAAATAAATTAACATTGGAGCAAAATATTGCTCTATTTTTTTATTTTTTTATTAAAAGATGTACAACCTCGTTATGCAACATTACAAAAGATGGAAATTGTTCATGACGGGCTAACATGCAATTGTGCACAATATGGCATTGCCAATTTTGTCTCAAAATGCGTTTCGTTTACTGAAAACAACGCATTTTAGTACCTGTTCCCATTGTTTTCAGGCCTAAATAGAGACCTACAAAATAACCAATATCAGAACATTATATGGTTTTAATACAGGGGTTCCGTGCGGCCTAGTTTTACATATGAATTTAACGTTTACTGTATGCTTACTTTATTTTACCGCTTTTACCGAGCGTTCAGGGTGCCATTTTATGAGCCCGATTTTGGTCACGTGATCATTTAGCCTCTTAAGTGGCATTTAACATACCTAATTTTAAGTTTTTATAAATCTAATTTCGTTTTAAATGATTTCTTATTAGTTCAAACGAATTATTTTTATACGAATTATTATTTCCGAACATGATAATATTATTTCTTAAAAAGGAAAATTTAAACTAGCGTTAAACATTAACTGATTAAAAACGATCATCACGGGAAAAAAGTTTTGGGTCATCATATTACTTTTTTAGATATCTCAATCTAAAGCGAGGAAAGCTTTTTTCCTTTATTTTTTTTCTTAAACTATCTACACCTAGGTGAATTTAGTGATTTTTTAACGATCTCAACACTTAACACTTAAATACAACTGTAACATTCGTTCGTAGCACAAATTCAGATTATTGAAATAACTCGTAAGATAATTGTTAGATATTTGTACATTAAGAAACGAATATATTCAACTTTGAATGAAAGAAATAAAGATTTTAATTTGAAATTAAATATGTCCCGCGCAAATTAATACTGTCTGAATAAACACTTAACTATACTGTATACACTGATTTATCGGGATAGCGTATTTAATGACATAAAAATTGGAATGAAATTAACCAAAGAATATGAAAAATTGAACACTTTGTAGATAAAATACGATCCTATATATGATCATATTCATGTTGTACAATTCTCCTGTATAAATCTTCTTCGGAGTCAGTAAGTAGGTACGTAAGTAAATATTTTATTATCGTTACATGTGCATATCTATTACAATACATATCTACAAGAGAAAATAACATAGCACCCTGCCTATGATTATGTTGAACCTGTTGTCGTCCATTAATAGTAGCATAAAATAGTTAAAAAAAATACATATCTTCCGTCTATACAGGCTAGGTAGCCAGCCTGTATCACCGTATAATGCGAGAATGGGTGCACACCAAAGAAGTATCGGAGTCCACGGTGCTCTTTGTTATCAAGGCACTAAAACTGTCTTGCGCCCCATATAGAGGCACCGTAATCCAAAATAGGTGCAACACATGAGAGGTAATGTTTTTCTAAGGTCTGAAATTTTAAATCTTTCATGTTGTGTATCTGGTTTATAAGACTTCCTAGAGCACGTCCCGCCGAATTGGTTAGTAACTAATTTATTATTAAGTTACTCTTTTGTAAAGTCACATTTTTTCTTGAAATGTAATTCCAAGATATTTGTAATAATACTCGACTATTTCTTATATGTTGTCACCTGTTTTAAAAACAAAATCCTATGTTAGAGCTTTGTGTTGCATTTTAATTGTATTTACTATTACTCTCCAATGTCTGCACCAGTAATGTAACACATTGAGCATATTCTGTAAATTTTCTTCATTGTCGGAAATTCACACAATATCGTCAGCGTATAACAAGATAGATATATTGACGTCTTCCATTTAGATGCCAAGGTCAAGGTCATTTATGTGCGTCACAGGGTCTTTAGCGAATACTGAAAATATCGTCGGTGATAAATAACACTCCTGCTTCAAGCCCGTGGTATACTCGAAGCAGTCTGTGACATTATAATTATCTTTAATTCAATGAAAGCAGTATATACGTTACTGTTGTTTCTCACAATACTGTTAAAATGTAAAAATGTGATCCTCACATGACGTATTTGACTGGAATCCATTTTGTCATGCATCTGCCAAAAGTTCATTATCTTCAGGGTATTTACTAAGTCTTTTGTATTAAGTTTACCAATACACCATAACAGGCTGATTCCCTTGTAATTTCACGGAATTCTTTTGTCCAAATTAGTGTGCTTCAAAATTGGACATATTATCGCTTTTCTCCGTATAGATGGTATTAAAGGGAGACACAGGCAAAATTTTCATTTCTTAGTTTTGATTTTTTTCATTCCTAATTCTGTAAATGCCATCAAAATGAATATATTAGACAGTCAAAGGAACAAAACTTTTCTCCATATAAAGAATAAAATGGTGGTTTCCTAACCTGACCCGCGTGGGTCAGGTTAGAGCGCTAGGATTTCACAATAGTTGTCACAGTGAAATCTGGAAACGTTAAAGAACATGTCAAATGAATGATTTTGACTTGTTTCAATCATACAATATCCACAGTATCTGTTAATGTAACTTCAAGGATTTGTTCAAGTCACCTGACTTGTTTTAAAACTATTCGGTGATTCTATTGGCGTCTAAATTTTGTTCAACATATATAGATATATTTATGTTTCAAATCCAAAATATATAGAATTTAAAGAGAAATTTTAGAAATGTCATTTTAGCGCGAGTTGAGTACAAAAGATAGTTTTAATATTTTTGTCATTATTTTGCCTGAATATCCCTTTAAGCTACTGTCAAAAATCAATTGATATAATCTTTGTCACACTATTATCACTGACGAAATTTGAGCACTTCATCAAAGCCGTTGGCTGACCCTGCATAACGTCATTTGATACTTCTTCTATTGTTATGCGACCGTTTAATGGATCATTATATAACGGGTCTTCCATATTCATTGCTCCGGGCCAACAGGCCATGGACACGATTTTTATCAATTGAGCCCTTCGATTTACAGCTAAAAATAAATTCGAAAGCACGATTTCCTTTCGATTTCTATTATGTAATGTCATATATTAGTCTTCCCTTCGGTGATTCGCACCACGTCATATTAATGAATGTGAACGGGAACAAAGCTATAAATAGATATGACCTTAACATTGAGAAAGTCCGAAAATCTAATTAAAGAAGTAGTTTAATTAACCGCTTTGGTAATTGAACGAACTGGAGAGTTTTGCAGAATGACATGCAAACATAAATTTGCACCATTTATAACTTATCGAATAAAAATTAAAGTAAATTAGCAGCTCCCCTGATTATTTAAATCGACCCTGGTGACCCGAATTTTTGCTCATTTTGTTTGAAAGCAATCGGTTTTATGGTGGTTTGAGTGGAATGTTGATTTGCCGAATACCGCGACATGTATTTTAACAACAGAAACTTTCGTCGAGATGTTATGGGTTTATTGATTGTAAACACACTGGTGGGTCAGACGAGGATTTTGAAGCAATTCAACAAAATAGTAGATTCATCTCCCAAATAAATCAATTAACAATAGCTCTTTATTTATAACCCGTGTCAAACATGGTGTTAGTGAATTTCCCCATACCCTATAATACCTGTCTAAAATACAGGTAACAGTCTTCTATTGATAAATAATGCTACATGCCATACAAAATTATTCATGATTTTAAATGTACCATTATTTTTGTTAACGCTTATAACAAAAAATTCCTGAATTTGGTCTTTTAGAAATTCATCCTCCAGTGTGTGTTCTTCTTTCAGTTTTTATCTGAGACTTAAATAGAGCTACTATATCTTAAGTCCAAGGCATCAAAAGAACCCATTTTTCTTAATTTGATAGAAAAATGCCTGTTATATTACAATATTAGTCTCATTTGTTGTTTCTTCATATGTAACATTTTAGTGATAAGCCTGATCGTGCTCTCCCTTGCGTCCTGTCCAGTTTTTGTTTTGGGTCCTCCTGAGCTCCTTGCCGCTGGTTCTTGTTGCTGGGTCGTGTGGGGGTTGCGTTCATTGAACGCCGCCTTTCCTTGTTGATCTTGCTTATCATATTCTGTACGTAATTGTTGACATCGGCGGTTATTTCCCGAATACTTTCTTTTAAGGGAGACACAGGCTAATTTTTCATTTCTTCGTTTTGAATTTTTCATTCATTATTCTGTTAATGTCCTCAAAATGAATACAATAGGCAGTCACAGGAGCAAAACTGTTCTTCACATAAAGAATAAAATGTCGGTTTCCTAACTTGACCTGCGTGGGTCAGGTAAGAGCGTTAAAATTTCACAAAAGTTGTCACAGTGAACTCTTGAAATGTCAGTGAACATGTCAAATGAATTGTTAAGACTTGTTTCAATCATACAATATTCACAATATTTGATTTTGTAACTTCCAGGGTTTGTCCATGTCACATGACTTGTTTTAGAACTACTTGGTGATTCTGTCGGCGTCTAAATTTATTTCAACATATATAGATATTTTTATGCTTCAAACCCAAAATATATAGAATTTATACAGAAATTCATGCTGGGATTTTAAGAAAATGTTGTTTTAGCTTGATATGAGTTCATTCTTTTTTATTCTTTTTATGAGTGCATCATTTAAATATTTTAGTCCTTAATTTGCCTGAGTATCCCGCGCATATCATTCAACAATGTTTGTAAATCTTCATTCATTTGAGGCGTTTATTTGTTAAGCATAAGAAAACAAGTATAGAGATTCGCACGAAAATTTCCTTTTCTTGATGAATGTGTAATACAGCCGCGTGATTTTATTGGATAACGAAAATCATGATTTGCGTCGCATTGTTATTTTATTCATGACAAGAAAAGCCTTGATGCAAAGCATCAAATGGCGTCCAAGCAAGAAATGCAGCAAGTGAAGATGAACTAGTAGACATCTGATGACCAAATATTCTTATAATATTTTCAATGGTTAATTGGTTTTTATCAGAATTGTATATCATTTATGAATGGGCAGGCAAAAGACATTGTTCTTCGTGAACTTTGGTAGGCATGCTAGAGATTAGAATATTAAATGCTTTTTTTCCACAGGAACTTGAAACTATATAATATCCAGAATATACAGGTCTATAATATCCAAAATTTACCCCCTATATGGTCGTTTATTTATATAATATAGTGGGTATTTTTGGATATTATCATTAATTTTGGTTATTTGATAGAATTTCAAGTTCATGTGGTATTTTCTTTGGAACATACAAAATGGTGGTCAAATGAACAGTCTCTTAATTGATTAATTGGAAGATCAATCTACTATTTTAATGAATTACTTCATAAACTTCGTATTACCCACCAGTGTGTTTACATTCCTATCATTAAACCCATAATAACAACTCATGTTAAAATTGCAGACGAAAGTTTCTCTTGTTCAAATGTCACAATATTCGGCAAATTAAACTACTAAAAATCGATTGCCTTCAAACAAAATATAGACTAACGAGACTTGAACTATAGTATACTGCTGCTAAACCTGTTAACAGTTTACTGTCGCACAACGTCAAAATAAAAGCGACATTTAAAGTTATGAACAATAGGCCTATTTGAAAATTCACGGAATGCAATCAATATATTTTTGGACTTTCACAATGTTTAGGTCATCATTCTATTTATAGGTACAGTAGTAACATTTGTAATAACCCACATGATTAAAAATAAAGTTTCCTTTTAAAAGGAAAGGCTTGCACAGTTGTGCCTTCATCCCAACCCTTTAAAATTGTGTTGTTTTTTTTTGGTTTCAATTTATTATCACATTTTTTTTTGAATTACGGTATTTGTATATCATAAAGGGTTTATTTAGTTTTTTTTTTTTTTGGAAAACCGAATATTTTTTGTCAAAACGATTTGAAATCTATTCTCTATTGTATAAAACTAATAAAGAAAATGATCAATCGTAAAAATACTAACGTGATACTGAAGGAAAACAAGTGTGCATATTTCATTTCCCCTTTTTCGCAGCTAAATCATTCCTTTGCTTTATAGACAAGTAAATGCACTAAAATACTTCGTTACGTGGTACCAATTAATAAGCATGTATCAACTATGTTACACGATCACAAATAGACGATGCGCTATCTGTAGATCAGCACGTGGCAAGGTTAATGATATGCATGGGCTATTTTTAGATTACCTCACTGCGTTCAGTAGATCTAAATATAACTCGATCAAGCAGGACCACCCTTTGAAGACGGAATACTACTACAGTCACCATTCTCTATTGTATAAAACTAATACAGACAAAAAACAATTATAAAAGAAACTAACTTTTGCGTCTTGAAAAACAATTGAAACGGAACAATTTCGTTTATAATTTATTACGGTTTAAACCGATAAATCAAGTAAAAATAGAAATCCTATTTATATAAACAAACTGGGATTACCGAAGTAACTAAAATAGCTTAGATTTCCGTAATATTACTTCGTCTGATATCGCAGTATGACGGAATCGCCCGAATTGTCACGATTGCAATCGGAACTACATCGGCTATTATCATTAATCCGAAGAGTGACGGAAAAGGCCGAAAAGTTGCGATTGGCACGATTGCAGCTGGTTTCCCGTTCAATCATGCACCAACAGATGTAAGCAGGAAACCACCTAACCGGAACAAGTTTTCCAAATGAAATGGCTTGCAGCCGTGGCTGCAAGCCAAAAACACCGAAGATCGCGATTAATTGACGGATAAGATAATTTCATTTGAATATGTTTGCATTGCGAAATTCTCCAGTTCGCTATTCATTGCACATATCGCGACATTTCATTTTTGATAATCAAACACCCTCATACCAATCGGAATGGTCGGCTATTATGACAGACGAAAATGCCCGATGAGTTGCAATTGCCCTTTCACAAAATCTGATTCATTCCTTAATAAATACAGGTCTGTGTTGGGCTATAGGTATTGTAAGTACACGCTATGCAAAAAAATTGAATTAAAATAACCATACGTGTTTATTGATAGACATATTTTGCCTATAGTAATTGAAATCACCTGTTTGAGAGTTTTTGGCTTGAATAAGTACTGGCCGAAAGTAACCAAGTCTGATGTAGTCTACACATGAAACATACTTAAACTTAATATTATGCCATAGACCAAATATGATTTGCTGTGTACGGATTAATAAGAATGAATGGAGGTTCAAAATCTATGAAGTAAAAAATAGAAGTTTTTTTTATACAAAATGAAGAATGAAGATAAGAAACCCAACAAGAGCAAATGTTTACCCGCGATCATTGTATCAAAGTAGGTTGTTACCATAGCAGACTGTCTCACAGGCACTTGACTGTTTCACCGGTTAACCCATCATCATCATCATCATCATCATCATCATCATCATCATCATCATCATTATTATTATTATTATTATTATTATTATTATTATTATTATTATTATTGTTGTTGTTGTTATTACATGTATTAAGAAAATTGTATAACATTATGATATCAAGCAGACGACAGTTTTAGCAGGCTGAAATTTTACAAGCATATAAAATGAGAAAAATGTTTCACATACCTTGATAATCTGAAAACGTAAGTAATCCAACTATATGACAAAAGCAAAGAAACCCAAGAAAAAATATTAGAAGTCTTGGTCTTCCCCGGAGGCATTGTAAATAACGAGTAATCCAACGAAAATTGACAAAGTTGAGTTTTCTTTCTTTGTATCTCATTTTTTCAGTTAATGATGTGTATTCTTAAGAATAATAAAAATAAAATAATCGTAATCAGGGTTCGATGTTTAAATGCCAAACAAAACCGTAAGCAATGTCTGATCTCCAAGTTCGCGGCATAATGAGCGACAATTACTTTAAACTTTACGATCAAACTAAAAAGTCGCTATATGACCATGGCAGTATTTGTAACACGTTTAACCTAACAAAAAATGACCTTCATCAACTAAATTAAAAGTTTTTGAAATGTTAAAGCTTCAAGTCTTTAACCAATATTTCAATATCACGGTCATGTTAAATTATTTAAAAATCTTCAACGTGCTATTTAAGAGAAGTAGGGGGCCATGTACCTGTAAACAGAACAAAAGAGTTCATTCCGTAACAATAGAATAAGGGCCATGACGCTCTATTGATTAGAGATTAATACACGACAGAGGGAGGCGGCCGAAGGTGATAATCGGCCCGCAAAATGAATAATGGCCCCCAGGGCTTCAGCTCGAGGGCATTATTCATTTCAGGGCCGATTATCACCTTCTGGCACAATTATGACGTGTATATATGTCTTTAATACACTTGGTAGATTTAATAGTAGCATTTTTTGTTATTAAATAAATA